CACCAGCTATTATACGCAACTGATTACAATAATTATTCAAATGATTGCAATAAATATAATATTGAATGAAAAAAAATAATAATAGTTGAATTATTCATTTAATTTTAAGAAACATGTAAGAATTTTATTTAATTAGTTACAAAAGTTATTCAAATGGTTGCAATAATTATTATACTGATCAAAAAATTTTATATTTAAATAATTTAAGAATTTATGCAGAATTAGAAATGTTTTTGAATTTATTTTTAAAGTAACTTTTAAAAATTTTAATAAAAAACATTTAATTTTTTTAAGGGAAGATTTAAATAGTAAATAATGATATACTTAATAGAAAACACATTGTTATATTTTAAAGTTTGTTGTATAAAAATTCAAAAAGAAATTTTTTTAAAAAATTATTAATATCTTACCCGCATGCGAGCTTATGTTTTTTATGACTATAAAAAAATTTCAACAAGTTTATTTATAGTGAATTCAAATAAAAAATATTTGTTTTTTCTTATCTAAAAGATATATTTTCTAATCAATTTAATTTTATTATTTTTTATAAGGTATAAAGTAGTGTTGGAATCATTCGATAAATTCCGTTTTATCTCAAAAATGGTTAAATATCAGTAAAAAAGTAAAAAATTCTGATTTTGTTTAGTCATACAGGTATTAACAGAACGTAAATTGATCAAAGTTTTGTTCGTGTGTTCCCGTTTTTATAAAAAATCACAACAAATTGTTATTAAAAACTTTTTTAACAAAACCAATGTAAACTAAAACATTCAGATTTAAAATATGAGAAAAAAATACTAAATAGAACATTTTATTTTATATGAAAACATAAACTATCACTTTGTATTCATCAAGATAATAAATAATTTAAGAAATATAATACAATCAATATATTTTGAAAGAAATGATTTTTAATATTATAAAAATTTAAAAGGACTTTAGATCATTTTTAACCAAAGTAATTGTTTATTAAAAAAGTTTATTTTTCCATAAGTCTCTAAAATATTTTGAAAAAAGAATATATTACTAAAATAATAGAATCTAAATTACACCTTTTATTGTTTAAATTATAAAAAAGTCTAAAAAGCTTCTTTCAACTACTACTTGATTTGAAGGAATGCATAAAAAATTAAAAGTAATAATAGTCAATAAAATTCCTTTTCATCTCTCAAACTCTCAATAATTTAAGACATCTGTACCGTTTGATAGTCTTGGTGTTAGCTTATAGTTATCTAATATTAATTTGATACTATTAATTTTGTTTTCACAAACATATATTTAAATTCAAATTATCTCTTTCTCAACTAAATATTCTAAGATGTTTTTATTGTTTTCAGTTTCTTTAATATTTAAATTACTTATAAAATTAAAATACTTATCGACTTCATAGATATAATTAATACCAACTTACTTTTTTGAGAAGTTAAAATATTTTTAATTCTTATATCTAAATCATCGCTGAATTATTAAGATCATTATTGAATAAATTGCTAATTCTATAATCAATATATTTTCTTAATCAAAACGAATAAATATAAAGACTTAATTCCTTTAAATTTTATAATGAAATCTTGATGGAATAAATGGAAATCTGTCAAGTTAAATATACCTTTAGTAACTTGAGATTGCTTAGTTATATAAACCAAAAATTTTTACTAAAAATATAAGTTTTTTTATTGAATACCTGTTATAAAACGAATTTATCATAAAACGTATTTTTTTCTTATATCATAAAACATATATTTCAAAGATCTTAATATTTTATACTGTTTAAACTATCTAATACTGTTATCAATTATAAGTATTTATATGTTTTGGTATTAAATATATTAATATATGGTTTTCTTCAAACTACTTTAACGATTTTACAAAGTTATTCATTCAATAAATAAATTTTTAGTTTCAATAAAATAACTATTTGTCAATTGAAATATATGTGTTGAACATGAAATTCTAAAATATTTGAAGAACTAACATTCTCAACGTATTTTTCTAATTCACGATCAATAATTTAATCATAGAACTCATTTAATCCTCATCTATTTCTAAATTATAATCTAGTTTAAAAATCAATAGTTTAAATCATATTTCCAACAGTATATGATGCTGTAGTGATAATTTGTGTTTTCTTTGATTTAATATCTTTTCAATATTTCATTAAAATATTTGGCAATGTTATCTGTGAATTGGACCTTTTAATTGTTTGACAGAAAGATTCAAACATACCGTCTTTATATCAGAGTATTGACAATTAACAGAAATAAAATACTTTCTAAATCTCGTTATTGTGTCAAATTAAATTGGTATTATTCGATTGATAAATGTTTTTATAATCTGAGTATGTTTGAGAGTTGTATTTTCAGTGATAAATTTCCTGATAGCGTGTATTTTAAAAGATAAATCAAAAGCTTTTTAATATAGTAATAATAAAATTTTAACATATTTGGAATCAAATATTGCAAAACTACAGTCATTTTTACCAATAAAGATCATATTATTCTAATAAAATTTTCTTTTTATATCTCAATCAACATTTTTTAAGTTTTATCGTTAAGATTTTTATTCATATATCTATTTAGTGAATTTTTTTTAATAAGTTTATTGTATTTTTCAAATTTTTCGTAGTATTCTATTAAACGATTTTTAATCAAATATTTTAAAAAATTATTCTTATAGTAATTTTTTTGAATTTCTGATTATAGTTATTTTTATCTAAAACATAAAATAATATTGTTTATTGGTGAATATCTTACCCTCTAATAAATATGAGTTTAATTTCTAAAACCAAGTTTCAGAATTACTATAAAAACAATTTCCTTAAATAAAACATGTTTAAACATAAGTATATATTTTCAAGTAAACAACACAACCGTACAAGCACGACACTGATTAATTTATAACACTCTTTAATGAATTTTGTCTCTAATTTATTTTTTATATATATTAAATTCATGAAGTGAAAAAAATAAATTTTTTATTTTTTAGAAGTTTTAGAATAAAAAATTTATATTTTAAAGAGGGTTTATAAAAATATTAAAAAATATTGTTATTTTAAACCTTATCATTTAGAAGTATATTCTTTGTTTCTAAAAACTTTTAAACAACGTTTAAGTAATCTTCTTGTATATTTAAACACTAAATTAAAAAATCATGTTTCTTTAACTTAACAACTTTTAATTATTTGATTTTAAGATAACCTGAATAAGTTTAATTGTATTAAGATATAGACTCTTAATAAGCCAATATAAAACATAAACATATTTTTCCATTAATTTAATTAGCTACGAGTATAGAAATGTTTTTTGAATCTCTATCATGTATATAAATACAAATATCTTTATAAAAGCATATTTTGATTGTTTAAACATAAAAAATTTATCATAAATTGTTTATATACTCTATTTTTTAACATTGATTCAACCTCAACAAGTCTTCAACCTCTTTGGATGATACACATCTAAAAACGCCATATTTTTTCATAAATGTTTAAAAACACTTATTGTATTTTCAAACTTATATGCTTCATCTGGTAAATAACAAACATATTTTATACCATCGGATATAAAAAAATAAATTTACTCTGATATAAAAATATAATGAATCTATGATATCGTTAAAAATACAAGAAATTTCATAGTATTTTATACTATTTTTAAAATCTCAACAAAGGTTTTTGAGCTTCTTTAGCTTTTTTAATTAAAAGTCACTTAATATCATTAAAACAATGGATTTTGTAACAGTTTAAATAATTATTCTTCAAATTTCTTTTTATAATCATAAAAATTCATTTACAATCTTTTTTTAATTACACAACTTATATTTTTCATTAATTTATTTAACATTAAATTACATCTAGATTCTAATTTTACTAGTGATTGATAAATTTTCTCATATCTTTTACTAATATTGTACAGAAATGTTT